ACCACGGCTCCGAGGAGGCTGGTGCAGAGCGGGGCCCCCGGCCGCGTGCAGCCGAGCGCGGTCCCCAAGCAGGCGCCCTGCCTGCTGCGTCCCAGCGAGTTGACTGCAGTTTCCGAAGTTGGAGGGAGCCGTGCGGACGGGAGGTTGGTTTTTATCGTCTTCGTGTTCTGGGAACCTGGGGTGGCACCTCTTGCTGGCTGGACGCCTGCTCGGGGAGGTGAGGGTGCCGGACGCACGCGTGAGAGGCCGCGGTCCCGCGGGCTGGCTCAGCCCGGGCGGATGCCAGCTGGGAACGTGCAGAGCGAGACAGGTGTTCCCGGGGCACGGCGCCCGCCGCCGGGGCACATTCCGAGCTTCTGGGCTGTGTGTGCGGGGTTGGAGGAACGCAGGGTCCGGTCCCCTCTGTCCTAAGCATGGGGGAGGGCCCCCTGTAATATTCCTGGGCGCCATAGGTCCCTGGGGATGGGAGCTAAGCCTCCAGGCTTCCCGCGCGCCCCAGTTCACTCTTCCCCTGGTCCGAAGTTGCCAGCGTCTCCATAACTGAGCCCGGTTCTTTAGGGTTAAAAACCACTTCTATGCCAACCCAGCGTTTTGTGCTATAAGGCGAATAACGTGGGAAATCTGCTGTGCATGTGATTTCATGCACTTTAAGAATGTGGGCAAACCTCAGAGGACTGGGGTACAGATGACACTTGAGGTTCACCCTGACGTCCTGCGCCCCTTATGTAAGCCTCCTATGGGGTGCGGCGGCAGCAGCTGTGACTCTCAGTTCCATTTGTTTTAAGGTCCAGCTCGAATAGTATTTAATGAAAATGCTGACATGATCTAGCGGCCTGGAGTCGGAAACGCTGCGCACACTTTAGATTGGAGTGTCTTCTCCTAATAGGGAGCATGGGAGCAAAACCCCAGCATATTCTTCAAGGCAGCTCCAGGAATTAGATCCATAAGTCATGTTTTAAAACGGCATGCATTGTGCGGAGAGCTTGCCGAGGACCTCTTTGAACACATCCCCTTTGTTTCAGAAAAAGTGGAAATTGGTCATGCCAGACGAGTGTGGAGTCTGAAAGTTAAGTGCACGGATGGGCTTAACTATCCTAATAAACAAAGAGCATGATTTATAGGTAGCTCCCTTGTCTACTCTGACGGATAGCACTTTTTAACCTTCCTTTCTCATCTCTCCCCTAGAGATTCCTTCTAAGCAGATCAGTAGATCATCATCGTTGATATTTAATATTTGAGTTGATTAAATTTGTAAAAGTATACTTTGAAGTACCTTATAGTACTGTGGTGACTAAGACAATGAATATTAGAAATGAGATTATTCAGATTATTTAATATAGAAGTCATTAGTTTAACCAAAGAGGTAACATTAAGACTGTGTGTGTGTATGTATATATATATGTGTGTGTGTATATATATATCTATATATATAAATTTGGACTTGTAATAATTGTTGAAATCAAAACTCATGGGTACGTTTTAATGTAAGATTTATTTTGGTCATCTTTAGAAAAACATTTATTTATGCTATTCCAGCATAGAGAACAAAATGAACTAGTTATAGGTACCTCATTTAAAAACAAAGATTTTTTTAAGAGTTCTATGAAAATATACAAAATATTATTTCAAAGATTGAAAAGTTGGTCTAGTCAACACATTGCGATTCATGAGAGTATCCATGGCTTATCTCTGAAAGAGATTATATCCAGGCTTGGATCCCAAGCAGGTCAACCCCCCCAAGGCCCTGTTGCCTTGTTATTAGGAGAGCAGACTAGGGAGCCGGGCTGGTGGCCCTGGTACATGTGTTTGAATCTGGGCAAGTTACCTAAAATCTGTGCCTCAGTGTCATCATCTGTGAAATGGGGATGACAAGATTTCCTCACTGACTTGGGTGAGGATTAGATGAGTTCATGGACGTGAAGCTGTTGAACCAGCTCCTGGCACGTGAAACTGGGTAAAATGATCCCCGTGAGGAGAGGAAATGGACACTACAGATGATATTGAATGACTGCTGATGCAGGAGAACAAAATCAGTTCACGCATATAATAGGGGAGAGGGTATAAGCATTTCCGAGGCACCTCCCAGGGATGCAGACCAGGCTGGTGTCTGATGTCCCGTCTCCCACATTTCCTCACTGAGGTAGGTGACTCCATGTCCACTTTGGAGATGGGGAAACTGAAGCTCAGTGAGATCAAAAAGTAGAAATCAGAGTTGGGATCTTAGCCCATGTCTGTTGTTTCAAACCCTGTTCTTTGAAACCCTGCTGCCTCAACTTGCCCAGTGCTGCCTCCGTCTCTCCTCCTCTCAGCCTCATAAGAACATAATGAAATAAGTGCGATATTATCTTCAATTTACAGATGAGGACATTGAGGTTACACGTTAAAGTATGCAAAGTGCTAAACAGCACTCACCACCTCGATCTCCACCACAGGGAGCTGTGGCTATTATCATAATTAGTGTTGAATAACACGCCCACCTTCGTGGGTGGGTGAGGTGCCAGCAGGTGCGGGGAGTGCTCGCCTTCAGTTTGAAGTGACCCTGTGGCTTTTACTTCCTTATTGGTCTATTCAGCAAGTCAAGAAAATAAAATTGGTATGAGGTTGCAACTCACAGTGGAGGATGGGGCTCCCCGGTTGGTTTCCTGCCTGCAGATGGGGCTGCAGTGGTCCAGACAGCCTAAACCGCTATGGCAGCAACGATGCACAACCATGTCATCTCCGAGCGAGACTTCAGTTCCAGCGGCAGGCAGAGCCCTGGCACTTTGCCGCACATTGTGCTGTCTGTTCAGACCTGGAGGTAGTTTGCACCTCATCTTAAATAAGCATGCTTCCTCTCGGCCTTTGCACCTGTCGTGGGGCGCAGTGTCCGGGGCCCGGTGAGCAGCACTGTGTCAAAGCTGGGTCCACAGCCTGTGGGCCGTCTCACCTGACTGCCAGAGGCTGGGAATGACTGACAGGCTGGTGCTTTTGTGGCTTTCTTCAGTTACCATCCAGATACTACTTGATGTTCTGGCTCTTGGTAAATAGTGACTCTTTTCTAGATATTAAAATCATATTGCTGTATAAGGCACAGAGACAACTGAGCGCTCACAGACTGATTTAATATTTAATTACACCTCTGAGTTAATGCATCCTGCCACTGGGAGTCCTTCAAGACAGATGTTCCAAGGGGACTTTCTTTGTCAAAAATCAAAACTCTCTGTATGGGGACTGTAAATGATATTCTGTGGCATATTGGAAAGTTGCTAAGAGAGTAGACCTGACAAGTTTTCATCATAGGAAAAAAGACTGTAAATGTGTGGATGTTAACTAGACTTATTGTGATGGTGATTTCTATATATATATATACAGATATTGATTCATTAGGTTTTATGTCTGAAATTAATATAATGTTATATGGCAAATTATATCTCCATTTAAAATAAAATAAAATCTCTCTGGGAGGGAGCTTCCAGGAGGATGCCTCGTGTGCTGGGCACACCACCCCAGGTAGTGTGCCAAAAAGAGACCTCGCCTAATCTCAACGGAGGCTCTCCACGTCTCTCTGAATTATCTCCCGCTCCATGTGTGGTCCTCCTTTTCAGGGTTGAGAGATCCCCTTTTACTCAATCAACACCTAGGTTTCAAATGCTCCTCTGTTCTATGTTATTCTGTAGTAAAATCTGCCCCGATCCCCTTTGTGATTTTAGCTGGGTCGATAATATACTTTTAACTAACTCTTCAGAATGTACACATAGTTCTGTTTTATTTCTTGTCTGGGCCGTATGCTTATTGGCTTATCTGTGGTTCCCTCCAAATTTCCATCTCGCTTTCCTCTGACATCGGCTTTCTCTTGCCATCAACATGGACAAGAGCGCCAGCTACTTTTAATGTGGACATAAACGCATGACAAGAGTTGATTCTCCACAGTCACCTACGATTTTGAATTATTTCGGCTTTGGGTTTGAGGAGTCAGGAGCTGATTATGTTTCTGGAGCTCTTGCCTCATACGTCGCCGAGCTATGTGTTGGGGTTGGGGAGAGGGTTATACAAGTTTCTGATTATACGGGCAAGCAGTTCAGAGGCAGCATGGCTGAGAGATTCCCTCAAGGCTGGGGCATTGCTGAGTTTGAGAGCACGGGGTGGGTGTGGGGGGCAGACAGCTCCGAGTGTGATTTATCTGCCACGTTTCCAGTCCTCACTGGCTGTGCCTTTGGATGAGAAGTGGAATGGCACAAGACTAGCACAGGACTTACCCCATGCTGGCTGCCATGCTAAGAACTCTACATACAGTATTTACTTTAATTCTCAGGGTGACCTTAGAGAGTAGTGACTTTATTATCCTCTGTTGCAAAAGTGGAAACTGAGACCCGGAAAGGTCAGCATGCTTGTCCAAGGTCACACTAGTGAGTTTTGGAGCCAAGAGTGGAGTCAGGGCTGTCTGATGAGACCCGGGCTCCTTACACAGCATCTACTGCCACCAACTTTGGAGCCTCCCTGGTAGTTAAGCTGTTGTATAGGTGTCCTAAATTGTGCTTCTCAAAATAATCCTCCACTGTGTCCTGCTCCGGACAGTGACCCTGGGATCGGGCTGTGTCCCCGGTCCTGCCCAAGGCCAGCAGCTGGCATTGACTATGATCTGCTTATCTCTGTGGAGGAAGAGCTTAAGCTTAGTCCCTTCAGTGAGCTCAGGAAGGAAACCCACATGCTCGCATGGTGAAATAGGAAGCCCAAAGCCCTCAACTGATAATGGGACCTACTAGAGCGGCCTGTTAACGTTATCTGTTTGGAGTCATACGTTTGCATGATTCTCAATAAAGAAGGAAGTGTAGAGACCTGAGATTTTCTCATTGATTTAAAAAAAGGTTATTTAAATGAAAAAAGGGATGAGTAATGAACATGCTACCCACAGTGTTAGGTGTCATTTACAATGAGGCTAAGGTTTTTAAAGTAAATGAATGCAAATGTCTAACAAGTAAGTTCCAGGCGTGCTGTCTCGGAAGGGAGGCATCAGACCTGTGCAGTGATATAACCGCTCTAACTGCAGCCCAAACACAGAACTTAGCACCAACGGTAATATTTTCAAAACCCTTGTCCTGATTTCCACCTCCCTAGTTTTTTCTTGATTTGACTCAGGAGCCAATATTCATTTGGTAAGTTCTTC